GGTAGAATATAAAACACCCAGGGAGGTACTACCGTCTGTTGGTAGTAGGTTGGTAAAAAACCCACCCAGGGAGGGTACTCCATCTGTGGGTAGTGTTGGTAGACAACAACCACCCAGGGAGGTACACTACCTTCCTGTGGTGTAGGTTGGTAGACAAACAACCACCCAGGGAGGTGCTACAGTCTGTGGTAGTAGGTTGGTAGACAACCACCAGGGAGGTACTACCGTCCTGTGGTGTTAGGTTGGTAGACAACAACCACCCAGGGAGGTACTACTTGTTCCTGTGGTAGTAGGTGGTAGACAACAACCACCCAGGGAGGTACTTACCGTTCCCTGTGGTAGTAGGTTGGTAAACAGCAACCACCAGGGAGGGTACTTCTGTCCTGTGTAGTAGGTTGGTAGACAGCATCACCGGGAGGGTATACTGCTGTGGTAGTTGGTTGGTAGACATGAACCACCCAGGGCGGTGCTACTTCCTGTGGTAGTAGGTTGGTAGACAACAACCACCACGGATGTTACTTACCGTCTGTGGGTAGTTGGTTGGTAGACAGCAACACCAGGGAGGGTTACTCCTGTCCTTGTGGTAGAGGTTGGTAGACAACCACCCAGGACGGACTACCGTCCTGTGGTAGTAGGTTGGTAGACAACAAACCACCCAGGGAGGTACTACCATTCCTGTGGTAGTAGGTTGGTAGGACAACAACCACCCACGGATGTTACTACCGTCCTGTGGTAGTAGGTTGGTAGACAGCAACCCCAGGGAGGTACTACTGTCCTGTGGTAGTAGGTGGGTGGACAACACCATCCCACCAGGGAAGGTACTACCATCCTTGTGGTAGTAGGTTGTAACAACAACCACCCAGGGACGTACTACCATCTGTGGTCAGTAGGGTGGTAGACAACAACCACCAGGAGGTACTACCTCCTGTGGTGTAGGTTTGGTAGACAACAACCACCCTGGGAGGTATACATCTGTGGTAGTAGGTTGGGTAGATATTTACAAAAAAAGTAATTTTTTAAAAGACGGATGGTATTAGATTACTCCTTTTGTTAATAAAGAGTTCGGGATACATAAATACAACACATTAATATAAATTAATCTTTAATATATAAAAATCAACTATCTTTGGTCTAGAGGTATTTGAACTAAGATTAATATTATATGTACATGTGTTACTATAATAAATTATTAATCAGCATTTTACTAAAAAATATAATTAATAACCTACTCAGGGTACAACTCTTGACACTACTGTCACTATATATATATATATCCTATGCTCAAACAATAAATATAAATAAACATTTTTATAATAATAAATTACAATCAACTGCCTCTCACGACCGAGTCAGATCACACGACACTGTTCAGTGTACATTACAACCAGGCCATCCTTCAGGTCGCACGGACAACCCTTTTCATCTAAGTGTTACACACGGCTATTGCATCTCTCAGTGTTCCACTCCATCGTACGTCCCTCAGTGTCACACTTACGGTCCTGCCACCCCGCAGTTCCGTGTAAACTCCAACCTTTTCTTCATGTAATGTCCCACTAAACAGCATCTGACGACTCCGGCCCACAGTTGATCAACGTAGACGGTGAGTCCACAGACATCACCGGTAGTCCAGTAAATCCTCTCCAAAGGCGGTTGACACACCGCTAGCCGAACACCATGCTGCAAGCTCACTGAATGCGGCCGTCAAGTAACTGAGGCCAACAGACTCCCGTGAGCTGCGGTGAGCGGTTCTTCTAACGCCAGTAGATAGGTACGATTCGGGGGTCAGGTACCTACTGCATAGACGTGTACCCTAGGAGTTCAGGTACTTAATGTTGAAGCCAGTAGACGTGTACCCTTCGGTGGTCAGGTACCTACTGCTTAGGTGTGTACAGCGAGGCGCTCAGGTACATAATATTTCTAAAGCCAGTAGACGTGTACCCTTCGGTGGTCAGGTACCTACTGCTTAGGTGTGTACAGCGAGGCGCTCAGGTACATAATATTTCTAAAGCCAGTAGACGTGTACCCTTCGGTGGTCAGGTACCTACTGCTTAGGTGTGTACAGCGAGGCGCTCAGGTACATAATATTTCTAAAGCCAGTAAGACGTTACCCTTCGGTGGTCAGGTACCTACTGCTTAGGTGTGTACAGCGAGGCGCTCTGGTACATACTGTTACTAAAGCCAGTAAACGTGTACCCTTCGGTGGTCAGGTACCTACTGCTTAGGTGTGTACAGCGAGGCGCTCTGGTACATACTGTTACTAAAGCCAGTAGACGTGTACCCTTCGGTGGTCAGGTACCTACTGCTTAGGTGTGTACCGTGAGGCACTCAGGCTCTTACTGCTCTAAGGCCGGCTCAGCAGCCCCCACATTGGGTTTGATGACGCACCCAGTGGTACTGCCGGCCGGCAGGTTAACTATTTAACCGCTAGTTTGGCAGGGGCCGCAACAGTAGACAACCACCCAGGGAGGTACTACCATCCTGTGGTAGTAGGTTGGTAGACAACAACCACCCAGGGAGGTACTACCATCCTGTGGTAGTAGGTTGGTAGACAACAACCTCCCAGGGAGGTACTACCATCCTGTGGTAGTAGGTTGGTAAACAACAACCACCCAGGGAGGTACTACCATCCTGTGGTAGTAGGTTGGTAGACAACAACCACCCAGTGAGGTACTACCATCCTGTGGTAGTAGGTTGGTAGACAACAACCACCCAGGGAGGTACTACCATCCTGTGGTAGTAGGTTGGTAGACAACAACCACCCAGGGAGGTACTACCATCCTGTGGTAGTAGGTTGGTAGACAACAACCACCCAGGGAGGTACTACCATCCTGTGGTAGTAGGTTGGTAGAGAACAACCACCCAGGGAGGTACTACCGTCCTGTGGTAGTAGGTTGGTAGACAACAACCACCCAGGGAGGTACTACCATCCTGTGGTAGTAGGTTGGTAGACAACAACCACCCAGGGAGGTACTACCATCCTGTGGTAGTAGGTTGGTAGACAACAACCTCCCAGGGAGGTACTACCATCCTGTGGTAGTAGGTTGGTAGACAACAACCACCCAGGGAGGTACTACCATCCTGTGGTAGTAGGTTGGTAGACAACAACCACCCAGGGAGGTACTACCATCCTGTGGTAGTAGGTTGGTAGACAACAACCACCCAGGGAGGTACTACCGTCCTGTGGTAGTAGGTTGGTAGACAAGCACCCAGGGAGGTACTACCGTCCTGTGGTAGTAGGTTGGTAGACAACAACCACCCAGGGAGGTACTACCGTCCTGTGGTAGTAGGTTGGTAGACAACAACCACCCAGGGAGGTACTACCGTCCTGTGGTAGTAGGTTGGTAGACAAGCACCCAGGGAGGTACTACCATCCTGTGGTAGTAGGTTGGTAGACAACAACCACCCAGGGAGGTACTACCATCCTGTGGTAGTAGGTTGGTAGACAACAACCACCCAGGGAGGTACTACCATCCTGTGGTAGTAGGTTGGTAGACAACAACCACCCAGGGAGGTACTACCGTCCTGCCAAGTGAGTGTAAAACAGAAACCTGTAATTGTTTTACAAGACAGTAGGATTACTGGTGGGTTTTTCGTGTCATAAACATGTAAGATGTGAGGTACGTCTTGCTACTTCTATTGACTGAGTTGGTACACAATAAATTGCATTCTGTGAATCTGTCTGGTTTTTCGCCTCGTACCATCACTGTAGTGTTTGGGAGACTACCTTCCACCCTATTAGTTACTTGACACGTTATTTCACTTTTGACGTCTCTGTTTTAGCATAGCCCTCATAATGACATAGCCCTCATAATGACATAGCCCTCATAATGACATAGCCCTCATAATGACATAGCCCTTATAATGACATAGCCCTCATAATGACATAGCCCTCATAATGACATAGCCCTCATAATGACATAGCCCTTATAATAGCATAGCCCTTATAATAGCATAGCCCTTATAATAGCATAGCCCTCATAATAGCATAGCCCTTATAATAGCATAGCCCTCATAATAGCATAGCCCTTATAATAGCATAGCCCTTATTATAGTATAGCCCTTATAATAGCATAGCCCTCATAATAGCATAGCCCTTATTATAGTATAGCCCTCATAATAGCATAGCCCTCATAATAGCATAGCCCTTATAATAGCATAGCCTCATAATGACATAGTCCTCATAATGACATAGCCCTTATGATGACATAGCCCTCATAATGACATAGCCCTCATGATGACATGGCCCTCATAATAGCATAGCCCTTATAATAGCATAGCCTCATAATGACATAGTCCTCATAATGACATAGCCCTTATGATGACATAGCCCTCATAATGACATAGCCCTCATGATGACATGGCCCTCATAATGACATAGCCCTCATAATGACATAGTCCTCATAATGACATAGCCCTCATGATGACATAGCCCTCATAATGACATAGCCCTCATAATGACATAGCCCTCATTATAGCATAGCCTCATAATGACATAGTCCTCATAATGACATAGCCCTCATGATGACATAGCCCTCATGATGACATAGCCCTCATAATGACATAGCCCTCATGATGACATAGCCCTCATAATGACATAGCCCTCATAATGACATAGCCCTCATGATGACATAGCCCTCATAATGACATAGCTCTCATAATGACATAGCCCTCATAATAGCATAGCCCTCACAATGATATAGTCCTCATAATGACAAATACCAGTACTGTTACCACCACTGCTACTAATACCACTGCCTCTGCTGCTATTATTATTACTACTACTAATACCACTACTATTACTACTACTCTACTAATACTACTACTACTACCATTAATGGCCCAAGTTAGATTGAACGGTCCTCAAAAGTTACTCTCTGTGTGTGTTGTTTTTGTGTTTTGCTCCGGCCACGGTATTGTGCCTTGTTATTCTTTACCATTGGCCAGTAGGCCTAGGCCTTCTAGCCTAAGAGATACTTAACTGAATATAAATCTTTCCGTAGGATTTCCGGTGTCCATTTGAAGACAGATGTAACGTCACTCAGGTTACACGGAGATTTTGCCAGAAATGCCGCCTTAGGAAGTGCTTTGAAATCGGCATGAAGAAAGAATGGATAATGACGGAGGAAGAAAAACAAAGGAAGAAGCAGAAAATAGAGGAAAATCGTGCCAGGAAGATGGGAGATGCGATATCTGATGACGAAAATGGCAAGTCTTCAAACCCCTTCAGTCCATTTACTGCAGCGGGTGGCAGCGAGTGTAGCAAACCCCAGGCTGTTGTTGTGGGGGTGATCAGGAGTGATGAAGATACCTTCTCTAAGGTGAGTACTGTCTTGTAGACACCTTCTGTAAGCTGATTACTGTTGCTACTGAGTACTGTGTTATAGACACTTTCTGTAAGGTGAGTATTGCCTTGTTGTTGAGCACTGTGTGGTAGACACCTTCTCTAAGGTGAGTACTGTCTTGTAGACACCTTCTGTAAGCTGATTACTGTTGCTACTGAGTACTGTGTTATAGACACTTTCTGTAAGGTGAGTACTGCCTTGTTATTGACCACTGTGTGGTAGACACCTTCTGTAAGGCGAGTACAGTGGACCCCCGCATAACGATCACCTCCAAATGCAACCAACTATGTAAGTGTATTTATGTAAGTGCGTTTGTACGTGAATGTTTGGGGGTCTGAAATGGACTAATCTACTTCACAATATTCCTTATGGGAACAAATTCGGTCAGTACTGGCACCTGAACATACTTCTGGAGTGAAAAAATATCGTTAACCGGGGGTCCACTGTACTGTCTTGTAGACACCTGTGAGGTGAGTACTGCCTTGTTATTGAGTACTGTGTGGTAGACACCTTCTCTAAGGTGAGTACTGCCTTGTTACTTAGTACTGTGTGGTAGACTCCTTCTCTATGGTGAGTACTGCCTTGTTCCTGAGTACTGTGTGGTAGACACCTCTAAGGTGAGTACTGCCTTGTTACTGAGTACTGTGTGGTAGACTCCTTCTTTAAGGTGAGTACTGCCTTGTTACTGAGTACTGTGTGGTAGACACCTCTAAGGTGAGTACTGCCTTGTTACTGAGTACTGTGTGGTAGACACCTCTAAGGTGAGTACTGCCTTGTTACTGAGTACTGTGTGGTAGACACCTTCTCTAAGGTGAGTACTGCCTTGTTACTGAGTACTGTGTGGTAGACACCTTCTCTAAGGTGAGTATTACCTGGCTTTACATAAATGGTAGACAATACTGACAAGATGAAGAATTAGACACACGTCCAACCTCTGGGTATCGTTATTGGTAGACGTTTCACCATCCAGTGGCTTTATCAGTGCAATACAAGGACATAATGTGAAGAATCGTGTGCAAGAGAGGAGGTAATCGGTCCCTGAGCCTTGAGTTGGTGAAGATTAATGTTGTTACTTATATACTGGCGTCGGGTGAGAGATTTCCAGCAGATGAAGACATTGTCATTGGTAGGTGGGATTGCCCAGTGGAAGTAGGTCATATCCAAGGAATGGGTCGGTAGTAAGCAAGAAGGCTGTGTAGATGTCCTTTGTGCCATGATTCCATGATGTTGCAGTGTCCAACAAGTTGTACTTAAGTGATATACTAGTGACAATATCTTCGTCTGTTGCATGTCCCTCACCTGACGCCGGTATATAAGCTCCAGGATCCACGACTGTGCTTCACTTCCTTCAAGACTATGGTACTGTTCACCATCTCCAAGGCCGTGGGTCTGATTACCTCATTTTTGTATGTAATTCTTCACAATATGTCCTTGTATTGATAGTCACTGGATGGAACACATCTACAAATAGATACCCAGATGTTGCTCATGTATCTAATTCTTCATCATGAGTACTACTGAGTACTTTTGTGTGAGAATATAAAAAAGGAGGAACACTGCAGCAGGCTTACTGGCTCATGCTAGGCAGGTCCTTCTCAAACCCTAACCCACTAACAAAATTATTTGCCCAACCCATTTTCAGTGCTACTCAAGGAATAAGCTTTGATAACCCCATTAATTCATGTGAAAGTCCCACTCAGATCTAACCCCTCTCACTTGTGTATTTATCCAACCTAACTCACGACTCGCTCGCCACGACTTCAATCCCCGCCCGTGGTTACTCGAGGTTTTAGCTTCAGTAACCCTACTTGGCAGACTGTTCCACTTATCAACTACCCTATTTCCAAACCAATACTTTCATATATCCTTTCTAAATCTAAACTTATCGAATCTGAATCCATTATTGCAGGTTCTCACTTGGGGAGATATCCTCAAGACCTTATTTATATCCCCTTTGTTAATACCCATCTTCCACTTACTTTGATCATGTCTCCCCTCACTCTTCGTCTTACAAGTGAATGTAATAATGGGGACTTCAATCTTTTTCGTATGGAAGATTTCTTAAGCAATGGGTGAATCATCGTAAGCTTAGTACAGTGCCTGCACTCTGAAGGATGGGTGAGAATGTTACAGTACTGGAGGTGGGAAGTACAGTACCTGTACTCTGAAAGATGAGTGAGAATGTTACAGTACTGGAGGTGGGAAGTACAGTACCTGTACTCTGAAGGATGGGTGAGAATGTTACAGTACTGTAGGTGGGAAGTACAGTACCTGTACTCTGAAGGATGGGTGAGAATGTTACAGTCCTGTAGGTGGGAAGTACAGTACCTGTACTCTGAAGGATGAGTGAGAATGTTACAGTCCTGTAGGTGGGAAGTACAGTACCTGTACTCTGAAGAATGAGTGAGAATGTTACAGTACTGGAGGTGGGAAGTACAGTACCTGTACTCTGAAGGATGAGTGAGAATGTTACAGTCCTGTAGGTGGGAAGTACAGTACCTGTACTCTGAAGAATGAGTGAGAATGTTACAGTACTGGAGGTGGGAAGTACAGTACCTGTACTCTGAAGGATGGGTGAGAATGTTACAGTACTGGAGGTGGGAAGTACAGTACCTGTACTCTGAAGGATGAGTGAGAATGTTACAGTCCTGTAGGTGGGAAGTACAGTACCTGTACTCTGAAGGATGAGTGAGAATGTTACAGTCCTGTAGGTGGGAAGTACAGTACCTGTACTCTGAAGGATGAGTGAGAATGTTACAGTCTTGTAGGGGTGAAGTACAGTACCTGTACTCTGAAGGATGAGTGAGAATGTTACAGTCTTGTAGGGGTGAAGTACAGTACCTGTACTCTGAAGGATGAGTGAGAATGTTACAGTCTTGTAGGGGTGAAGTACAGTACCTGTACTCTGAAGGATGAGTGAGAATGTTACAGTCTTGTAGGGGTGAAGTACAGTACCTGTACTCTGAAGGATGAGTGAGAATGTTACAGTACTGGAGGTGGGAAGTACAGTACCGGTACTCTGAAGGATGAGTGAGAATGTTACAGTACTGGAGGTGGGAAGTACAGTACCTGTACTCTGAAGGATGAGTGAGAATGTTACAGTACTGGAGGTGGGAAGTACAGTACCTGAAACTCTAAAGGATGAGTGAGAATGTTACAGTACTGGAGGTGGGAAGTACAGTACCTGTACTCTGAAGGATGAGTGAGAATGTTACAGTACTGGAGGTGGGAAGTACAGTACCTGTACTCTGAAGGATGAGTGAGAATGTTACAGTACTGGAGGTGGGAAGTACAGTACCTGTACTCTGAAGGATGGGTGAGAATGTTACAGTACTGGAGGTGGGAAGTACAGTGCCTGCACTCTGAAGGATGAGTGAGAATGTTACAGTACTGGAGGTGGGAAGTACAGTACCTGTACTCTGAAGGATGAGTGAGAATGTTACAGTACTGGAGGTGGGAAGTACAGTACCTGTACTCTGAAGGATGAGTGAGAATGTTACAGTACTGGAGGTGGGTAGTACAGTACCTGTACTCTGAAGGATGAGTGAGAATGTTACAGTCCTGGAGGTGGGAAGTACAGTACCTGTACTCTGAAGGATGAGTGAGAATGTTACAGTCCTGTAGGGGTGAAGTACAGTACCTGTACTCTGAAGGATGAGTGAGAATGTTACAGTCCAATATATATATATCTACATAACACCCAGCTATAGGATAAACACAGACCTATACACACTACAACAATACATACATATACTCACCCAGTTTAAAACTCCCATGCATTGATCATTCACTCACAGTCATGTGAAACACAGGTGTGTGGCATAATTAAGCAATAACAGTGAATATATGTGTATATCAGGTCGTGAGAAGACTAACACATGTTAGTGGGTAACTGCAGATGGTAACAGGAAAGTGACTTAATAATATTAATGACAGTTGAAGTGTCTTCAAGGTCACTCTTACAGTGCCTTTGTAACTATTGATGTCTTATTACTTAAATTTTAAAGTAAAAGGACACAAGTGCAACTAATGTGACATTTATTGTGGCAACGTTTCGCTCTCCAGGAGCTTTATCAAGCCATTACAAACAATACATGGACGCAGAGGGTATATAAAGGCTCAGAGTGAGGTGAATACTAGTGAGGGTCCATTTCGATGTTCACTAGTGGTGGTAGTAGTAGTAGTAGTAGTAGTAGTAGTGGTAGTGACAAAAGTAATACAATATGGTAGAGCAATTAATTCGTACATGAGTACTGTGTCCATGTATTGTTTGTAATGGCTTGATAAAGCTCCTGGAGAGCGAAACGTTGCCACAATAAATGTCACATTAGTTGCACTTGTGTCCTTTTACTTTACATATTGTCGGTAATTCTACCAACTTTATTACAATACTTAAATTTTATAAGTAATTGATGACACAATAATAATAATAATAATAATAATAATAATAATAATAATAATAATAATAAAAATAATAATGATAATCTTTCTTTCAACACATTGGCTGTATCCCACCAAGGCGGGGTGGCCCAAAAAGAAAAACGAAAGTAATAAAAATAATATAATGGTAATATAATATAATAATGTAATAAAGATGATATAAAAAGACAGGGTGGCTCAAAAAAGAAAAAACTTTCATCATCATTCACTCCATCACTGTCTTGCCAGAGGTGTGCTTTACACTACAGTTATAAAACTGGTACATTAATACCCGTCCTTCAGAGTGCAGGCACTGTACTTCCCATCTCCAGGACTCACGTCTGACCTTCTGGTTTCCCTGAATCCCTTCATAAATGTTACTTTGTTAACACTCCAGCAGCATATCAAGTCGTAAAAACCATTTGTCTCCATTCGCTCCTATGTAACACGCTCATGCATGCTTGCTGGAAGTCCAAGCCCCTCGCACAAAAAACCTTTACCCCCTCCCTCCAACCTTTTGTAGGATGACCCCTACCCCACCTTCCCTCACTACAGAT